CCCCCCCCCCCCCCCCGGTCTGAGGGCCAGCTGCGGTTGCAGGTCCAGGCAATGGCTCTTTCCCAGAGAGGAGCGCAAGGCTCTCCCAGGGCAGACAGCTTGGGCTGCTGCTGGACTGTTTCTCGGAAGGCCCCCGAGGTCACCCCGACTCCCCTCGCTGCTGCCCCTCGGGTCCGACCTGCGGCAGCCCCCCCGCTCCCCCTCCTGAGCAGCTGCTACTCCGCCGGGATGGGCGTGTTGCAGTTCCCGTGGTAGATGCGGACATGGCCGTCGCAGCGGAAGTAGTGCTCAAAGACGTCGCTGTAGCCGTGATCACGCCACCAGGTGCAGAGCTGGCGGTTCCAGGTGCAATCCAGAACATAGAACAGCTCGGGGTGCTCCATGCCCACCAGGGTGAAGAAGTCCTGGTCCCCCAGGTGGCCCTTGAAGTGGAACTTGCTGGCCAGCTGCTGCACCACTGCCGGCTCCAGCAGACGGTTGTACTGCTCCGACTGGCGCATGGCCTCCAGGTCCAGCAGCAGCACCCCACTGTTGAAGCCGGGCAGCCCGTCCGGGGGCGGGTCCCCCACCTTGGTCCCAGGGTGTTCCTGTCGATACTGCCAGAAGATGTGCCTGGGGAGGGAGGGGGGAAGGCCCAGGAGAGGTCACTCCTGCCCACAAACGAAACTACGGGCGAGGGAGGGGAAACGTTCTTGCCTCCAGGAAGGGGCAGTTTCCGGGGTTCAGGCCCTCAGGCACCCCAATCCGAGGGAGCCACCAGTGCACCAGAGACACTTGCTGCCCTCTCTGCTCCAGCTGCCCCCTTGGAAGACCGTGTCCTTGTTTCTCCCACTCCATCCCCCTGTCACCCGCAGACCTGTAAGGGGGCTTCGTGCCACTACTTGCCAGGGGACAACGCCCTCCGGCCGCAGATGGCATCCTGCCCGCAGGGAGGGCAACCCAGCTTGGAGCAGCTCCAGAAAGAAAGAGGGGCAGCAGCAGCCTCAGGGAGCCTCTGATCTATTTACAGCTGCAGTTTCCTTGTGGGTTGAAGCAACGCACCTCTCTGCCCCTCAGCAGTGATGAGATACACTGCCATGAGGACCAGGAGCTTTAGATGGCTTCTTTTCCAAGACACCAAGGCTTTTTCTCTGGCTGGCCCCCTCCTCTATCCCATCCGTGCCTTGGAGGGGGTGGGGCAGGTCCTTTGAGCACCCAGTGAATGGCGGTGTGCACTAATAGGCCTGGGTGGGTAACGGGGCCAGTCAAGGCTTTCCCTCAAGGGCGCAACAGGACCTTGCTCAGCCTGGGGAGGCAAGTGACCGACTGGGGCCGCCACAGTAGCCAGTCTTCCCCCGGGTAGCTGCCTTGGCCTGAGTCTGGCCGCACATTCACCCTTCCATCGCCTGGCCCTGACGCCACGCAGGCTCTTCACCCACCCTTGTCTGCAGGCTGCGAGGCAACCTCCGCTCGTTGGGCAGGGGAGCTGTCCGAGACCCCCGTGCGCTACCAGCGTCCAGTAAGACCACCCACAGCCCAACCTGTGGCTGTCACACTGACCGCTTGCCTGCCCCACGTAACAGCAGGGTCCCTTCTGCCCTGTGGGCTTCGTCTGACATCCAGCTGCTCACGCAGGGCCAGAGTTGGCCTGGTCAGCACCCCCCCCCGATCCTCAGGGGGCCCAGCAGGGAAGGGCCCAGGGAGTGGCACCGTGCCAGGCATGGCTACATACCGATAGACCGGCTGCATTTCTTGGGCGATGCCGATTACTGCTCCTTCTGGGAAGTTGTCAAATTCCTGAAACAGTTCCCGAATGTTGGCACGGTACTCCACATCCAGGTCCACCTGTATGACCCGCGAAACCTCTGGAAGGGCAAAGCAGAGGAAAGGAGGCTGATTCAGATACAGGCGGATGGGAAAAGCCCCCAGGCTCCCAACAGCAGAGGAGACCCTAACAGGCACATCTTTAGATGCCTCTATTCAGCTCCAGAGCCTCGTAGTTACAACCAGCTAGTCCACAAAGGCGGCCCTGGGCTCCTCCTGTGGTGGCTCTGAAGGAGACTCTGAAGAACCGCGGCCCAGGAGGGCTGCAGGCAGGCGAGGGGCACCCAGTTGCCCACTCACCTCTGGGCATGATGTGGTGCATGGCGACCGAGAGGAAGAAGAGCGAGTCCCCGTAGTAGCTGCCAGCCCCCGCGCTGAAGAGCTTCTGCATGGCCTCCACCGTGGGCTGGAGCTTCTGGGCCAGCACCTCCAGGTCATGGAAGACCACCTGCCGGGCAGAGGGGTCGTCAGGACAAAGGGGGGGGTCTGCCCTCGACAGGGCAAGAGAAGGCAACCCCCTCCCCCCCCACAGTCCACAGGCTGCTTTGGCTGCTGTCCGGATGTCAGTTAAAGTAAACTACAAGCAACAACGGACTGAAACAGGGAGAGAGACCCGCGGGGGGGGGCTGGAAAAGGAAAAAGAAGCCCCCCAAGAGATGTGACTTGCAGAGGGACGGACGGACGGAGGGAGGGACATCCACGCCCGAAGGCAGCCAAGCTCGCCCACTCCCGAGCCCGGGAAAAGTTGCCTCTGCCCGGTTCACAGGCTCCCGCCTGGCCGACGGAGGGGGCGGAGGGAAGGGAGGGGGGGGGCGCCCACCTTGTACTTGAAGGCGGCCGGGCGCAGCGCCTGGTGCAGCAGCTGCCGGGCGGGGGTCCTGCTGGGCCCGTCGCAGAGCAGGTGCAGCGCCAGCGCCTCCCGCGGGCCCAGCTTGCCGAAGCGCACCAGCGAGCGCAGCGCCGCCGCCGCCTTGGCCAGCAGCGCCTCGTTGCGCTCCGCCTTGGCCAGCACCGCCAGCACGTGCAGCTCCGCCTCGCCCGCCGCCCCCGCCTCGCCCGCCGCGCCGGCGCCCCGCAGCAGCAGCTCNGGAGGAGGGCGGTCCCGGAAGGGGGGCGGGGGCTGCTGCCTGGACCCGGGCTCCGGTCGCCGCAGCCCTGGCGGCTTTTGACGCGCCCGCGGAGGAGGCGAGGCGAGTGCTGGAAGAAGGGAGCGGTCCGCGGCAAGGCGCCTTCCCGTCCCTCTCCGGCCTCTCCCGGGGCGCCCATCGCCTTCCTCGCCTCGCGCTTCGTCTCCAAGGGCCACGGGGGGGGGAGGCTCTCCTAGTCCCCCCAAGTGGAACCGAGGGCAGTCCGGGGCCTCTCCGAGCCGGGCACCGGGAAAGGCAGCGGCAAGGAAGAAGTGCCAGACCTTGAAAGGGCGGTCCCGGTGGGCGCAAAGGCCCGGGCTGCATCACCCCCTCCTCACAGGCGATTGGGAGACCCTGGGGAGGGCCGGCGGGCTCCCCCCCCCATTCCTAGAGGCTGTTCCTTTCCAAGCTCGGGGAGCCCCAAAATGGAAGGATCCGGCAGATCAGCTGGGAAACGCGGCCCCGAAGCGACCGGGAGGGAGGGAGGGAGAAGCTGCTGCCGGAGCCCCCTTCCTCTACCAGAAGAGCCACAGGGAGGAGGCCTCGAGGGGGCAGGCTGTCCCGGGAGCCCCTGGCGTCTTTGCTGGAGGGCCCAGTCAGAGGCGCCCCGGGGTCCCCCCTCTCAATTCCGGGATGCCAGGCGTGCCCTGTGGCACAGGGAGCCTCCCCCTTTCTCGCAGAGGTCCCCTCCCCTTCCCAGCTGCTCAGTCTTTGGGGCAACCTCTGAAGGGCTCCCACCCTCCCAATGTCCTCCGCCCAGCCCCATCGCCAAACAATTACAAGTGTGCAAGTGAAGCAGATTTATGTATAAAAAAGGGGGGGAGATAAGGGTACATGGGGGGTGGTGGAGGTCTCATTCATTGCCAACTCTTAGGTCTTTCAGGGCTCCGGCGTGTCAGGTGGCTGGAAGCGTTTCAGCTTTTCTGGATTATTGGAGGCCATCTGGGAGAAGTCCCGAAAGATGTCCTGGTAGGTTTCATCGCCTATGAAAGAAAGGAAGACACGGCAGCGTTGAAGAGACACCCCTGCTGCCTCCTCCTCCTCCTCCTCCTGATCAGCCCCCTCCCCCAGGCCTGCCCTGGGGAGTCTGTCTGCTCCTGGCCAGTCCCCTTCTCCATCCAGGCCCCCAAGGTGGTTTCTCAGCCCCCTGCAAGTGACCTCCAGGCCGCTGAGTACTTGCCACGGCAGGAGCCCTGCGGTTCCCCCGCCCTGGGATGCTGGGTGCTGCGGTGCCCAAACTGCAGCGCTTGGAGATTAAGCATCTATTTTGGCAAATCCAGCTTGGGCAAAGAGCAGAAGCAGCAGCAGCAGCCAAGGCCAGAGCCTGAGGCAGCCCCCGGGGGCTGGAGAGTTTCCCACCACTCCCGGCTGACCTTCTCCAATCCATCCACTCTGAGCAGAGCAACCCTCCTCTTGGCCAAGCTGCTAGGCTGCCCCCCTCTTTGAATTCAGGGTGATCCCTCGTTAACCCCCTGCTCCAGCACCAGACCCGACTACGCCGTTCCAGACAGACGGCTGCCCAGCCTCTTCTTAAAAGCCTCCAGTGTTGGAGCACCCACAACTTCTGGAGGCAACTTCTGTTCCTTGGTTCCGGGTTGCTTCTCCCCTTGGATAGTTTCCATCCGTTGCTCCTTGTCCTGCCTTCAGCTGCCTCGGAGAACAGGTGGACACCCCCTCCCCTTTGTGGCCGCCCCTCAAATATTGGAAGACTGCTATTTGGTCTTTGAATTCAGGGTGCTCCCTCCTTCATGCACCCCCAACTGGCCAGGCCCAGAAGCCCCTGGGCGAGCGTGGACTGGCGATGCCCAATCCCTTGGCAGAGCTGGGATCGGTCCCAGGGCATGCAAGGGAGGGGGGGGTTGCTGCTTTATCGAGAATGGCCTTCCATCCTCAGCCCTTAACACACACCCCCGGCCTACCTTCCAGGGCAGCTTTTATTTTGGGTCCCCAGCCTCCCCCCCCCCCCCGGGCAAGAGAGGCAGAGAAAGCACCATCCAGCGGAGGAGGCTGGAAAGAGGAAAAGGACTCCCAGCCAGACCCTGCCTGGAGAGAGGAGTCTGGCAGCCATGAGGGAGGGAGGGAGGGAGGAAGGCTCAGAAAGAGAACAAGAAGGGTGGGAGAGGAAGAGGCAGCACACATGCCCCCTCCTCCCCCCCCAGCCAAGGTGGCCAGGAATCCGGGGAAGGAGGCCGGAGAGGGAAGAGCATGAGGTGCAGCTGGACAGAGGCCCCAACAGCCAGGGGGGGAGGGGACCCCCAGCTCTAAGGCTCGGCTCTGCCCTGCGCCTTGCTCTGCGCGCTGAGAAGAGGCCACGGCAGATCCAGCCCGGGTGATGCAGTTCCACCCGTGCGCTCGTCCCCCGAAGGACGCGCAAACAGGTGCAAGCGTGTGCTGATCGAGACCTGCGGTGCCCACAGTCGGCAGAAGCGATGCAGCCGCCAAGAGTTTGGGGAGGGGGGAGGAGACAGAGGGTCTGTGGGGGCTGGTCTTTCAAAGGCTTCCCTGTGCTGCCCCCTCCCCCCACCAATTCTGTGTCAAGCAGAACCCGGCGGAGGCAAGAGGGGGCCTGGGGAAAGCAGCCCTGAGCATCTCCTGCGGCCAACTGGAGGGGGAGGGTCCTACAGCTGGTCTGGGCTGCCTGCTGAGGAACTCTTCCTCTCCCGCCCCTCGGCAGGCGCACCTGGCTGGCCGTAGAGTCCCTCCGACTCCCGCATCTCCTCGTTCATCCTGGCTAAGCGCAGCCTGCGGAGAAAGGGAAAAGAGCCTCAGGCCTCCCCAACGAAGGCCTGGCGCACCGTCGCCACCTCTGCCCACCAGCCCTGCCCCCGTCAGGGCCTCCTCGCGGAAGGGCCGAAGCCGCTCTGGCCAGGGCTGGCTTCCAGGCACAGAGCCCAGGCCGCGTGCCTGCGAGCCCGGCCTTTCCCCAGGGGCCTCCCTGGAGAAGACGAAGCTCCGTCCTTACAGGGTCACGATGTCAGCGTTGGCGGCTTCTATGGCGACGCTCAGGGGGTCCTTCCCGTCCTCGTCCCTGGCGTGCTGGTTTGCCCCCCTTTTCAGGAAGAGGCACACCTGCCTGTCAAAAGGGAACCAGCACAGCGGTCAGAACCTGGGCAAGATCGGCCGGTGCCTGCAGAGAAGCCTTCCGAGGAATGCGGCAGGAGCCCCGAGAGCAGGAGACCTACCCAGTGTGCCCCAGAATGGTGGCGTGGTGGAGCGGCCCTCTGCCCTGGGCGTCTCTCAGGTTCACGTTGGCCCCGTTCTGGAGGAGGAACTCACAAGTGACCAGGGAGCCCTGAGGGGGAGACGAGGGAGGTCCAGGCTAAGCTCTCGGCCAGAAGCGGGCCTCACCCTTCCCTTCCCCAAACTTGCAGGATGCAGCCCGAATCCTGTGCCCTTGGATCTGGCTGCCAACCGGGCCAGTGGGTAGGGCAGGGCAGGCAAAGCTCACCCCACGAACCGCCTGGATCAGCGGAGTGAAGCCGTTCTCCTGGTTGCGCCAGTTGACCTCTGCCCCCTGCGCCAGGGCTTCGGCCATGTGGGGAAGACTCTTCTGGTAGGCCGCCTGGTACAGCTGCAGTCCTGTGACCCACAGCTTGGCATCCTGGGTAGCAGCAGCAGCAGCGGAGGAGGAGGAGGCCTCCCCTTGGCTTTCTCCCTCTGGAGGAGGAGAGGCACTTCCTGTCTTGCCGCTCTGCCCTCGGCCCGCCCAACAGCAGCTTCCCCACCCTCAGCTTGGCTGGAGAGGGACAGGCGGCCGAGGGGCCTCCTGCAGACGAGGCTCAAAGGCAGAAGCAGAACCGGCTGCTGGCTATCTTAAGACTTCTTACTTTAACTAGACATTTAAACACCACCACCCACCCCCACACCCCCCCCCCCCCCCCCCCCCCCCCCCCCCCCCCCCCCGGTCCAAAACATGTTCCTGCTGACTCACTCAGGCAAAACCTGGGAGGAGGGTTGGGGATCCCACCCAAGGAAAGAAGGTGAGGGTCCCCCCCACACACACACAGCGCCCCAGCAGGAGCTCCTACCTGGTTCGTGCAAGACGCTGGCTGGGGCAACGGCTGCCAAACGCTCTTTGCTCTCCTCCCCGCCGGCCTGGCCACTGCCTGGGACTGTTTTAAGGAAAGGCCGTCCTTAGCGGGGGCAGCAGCAGCCGCAGGTGTGGGGCACCTGCCTCGGCAGACTGGTGAACGCTGGGCCTGCAGCACGGGCACTCGCCCTCAGCTCACCTGCCCCCAGAGCCTGGAGGGGGCCCAGGGAGGCTCTTCCTCCCCAACACGGAGGGCAGAGCCAGCGCCACACCCAGAGCAGACTTACTACAAGGCGGATTTGAGGAGGAATCAAAGTAGAATAAGAGCCACGAGAGAGACTTCTCACACCTCGCCCAGCTGGCCCTCACACCAGTCTCGGGGGGGGGGCATGCAAGCTGGCCTGGCTCAGTGCAGGCAGAGGACAGGAAGGGAGGAGGAGGAGGAGGAGGAGGAGGAGGAGATGGAGATCAGCTAAAAGCAACATCGCGGCTTCTCCCTGGGCTTTGGCAAGCATGAATGGGAGCATCTCCTGGGGTTGCAAGGAGGGGATTTTTGCCCACCCTCTCCCCCCCTTTACAAGATGGGGAGGGAGAGGGGGTCTCAGCAACCAGCCTGGGTACCTTTTAGAGGGGCTGCTGTGCTTTCAGGGCTGCCTCGCTTCTTCGCCTCCTGGTTGGGGGTCAGGGCTGGCTTTCCCCCTGGGTCAGCGGGGGACACAAACCGCCGGTCCACGTACTTGGCTCTAATGTACTCTTCCTTCTCCTGCCTGCGTGCAGAAAACAGGCCAGGTGAGCTTCCGCCGGGCAGGCGCAACACGCTCCCCCCCCCCGGGTGAGCCAGCCGCCTTCTCCTGTGGGCGCTCGAGGGGCCGGCTGCAGGGACCGGTGGCCGGGGCCTGGGGGTCCTGCCTCTTGCCCCAGAAGCAACGAAGGGCAGCGGGATGTGCTGCGCAAGGGGGAGGGGACACCTCAAAGGATGCGACATCCAGAAAAGAGTCGTGTCAAGCTGTGGAAGGCGCTCAGGGAAACGGCTCCCGTGATCCGACTCCAAACGCCTGGGGCACAGCCACCACACCCCCCCCCCCAGGCCTTGAAGTGGCCAAGTTTGGACACCTCTGCCCCAATGCAGGGGAAGGGGGAAGGAATGAGGAGGAGAGCGCCAGGGGAGAGAGGGAGGGACTCGGTGACGGGCCAGGAGCAAACCAGCGGATGGCCGAAAGGACCGGGTCAGGGATGGACCGTCCCAGAGGAGAATCCATCTATGTGCTTAAGAGTCAAGGACCCGAGGGCGTACAGTCAATCAGCTTGATGTCTCTATTATGCAAGGTCTTCAAGAAGATTGACAGCGTGTTTGTGAGCACTTGGGTAGGAAAGCAAAGCCAGTATTTATTTATATATTCATCAAATTTGTACAGCCGCCCATCTCACCAAAAGCAACTCTGGGCCATGTACAACAAACATTAGTTTGTCGTGACAGATTAATGTTATTACTGGACATAACATACTACGGCTTCAGTAAAAAAAGTTTTCCATGATATTCTTATTTTAAAAATGATAACTATGAAGTAGATGATATAAGTGCTAAATGGTTTCCCAACTGGCCCAAGAACAACATCCAGGGAACGATCATAAATGGCTTTCCATCAATTGGGGGGGGGGAGAGAAAGACACCAAACAAAGTGCCCCACACAGATTGTTCCCTATTGACCACCTGGGCAGAGAGGCTGAGGAGCGAGTCTGGGGCTAACGTTAGGCCGGGGCTCGCAAGGGGCGCCACAGGTGGCTTCGTGGAGGGCCTCAGCCGGGCTAAAGGGGCCTCTGCCTGAAGCAGGTCTTGCACTAACCGGTCATTGGACTAGATGGTCTCTGAGGTCCCTCCCAACTCTCCAGTTTCATGGGGAATGGAGCACATAATCTAATGGGGACCGTGACGGGTTTGAGGGAGGGGGAAAAAAACCTGACCCCCCCATGCAGGACGATTCCCCCCCTGCGCTAAGTACCTTTGGCTTCCAAGATGGGGCTTCTTGGCTCCCATTTTTTCTCTGTTCGCTTCATACACCCTGTTTATCACATTGTTCCCCAATTCACACATCAGCTGTAGGAAAATCACAAACATCAAAACCTAAGAGGAGGGGGCCTCCTGCGCTACCCCCCCGAGGCAAGGGTTTATGGGGGGGTGATCAAGGATGCCGACTCAGCTGTCCCTTCCCTGCTCCTGTCTCAAAGGCCCCGTTGGCAGAATCCGAAAGTGCCCAGGGCTGATCTGGGCAGACACCCTCTCCCCCCCGACCAAGAGCCTGGGACTCCCCCTCCCGGGGGCCTCTGCCACCCTCCCCCCCACAGAGGGTACCTTCAAAAGCTCCGGCTCCCACGAATCCAGCGTCAGGGACCGGACCTTGGAGAAGTGGACGCCCAGGCTCCTGCAGGGCAGACAGGAGGCACCGACTCAGGAAGGGGGCAGGCAGACGGGGAGGGAGGGAGGGGGGGCAATGGCTGCCGCCTCTCGGAGAGCACGGGGTGGGGGCTGCGCCTGCTTGCCCACCTGTGAATGCCCGAGCACTCGATGCACAGCGTGATGCCAAGGTTGATGCTGGCCCAGCGGGGGTCCGCCAGGCCACAGTCGCAGCACACCTCGTTGCCAGCAATGGCCTGGACCCTCTGGAGGGACCCTTCCCCCTTCAGCGACTTCTCTCTGGACTCCTGGCTGGACTCGGGGCTCCCTGTGGAGGGGGGGCGCTTCCTCTCCACCTGCGGAAGAGGCAGGAGGAAGACGCTGGGGCTGGCCCTCCTCCGCCCCCAGACCCTCTCCCGGCCCCCAATGGCTTGCCTTGCCTCCTGCCAGGCCAGAGCCGGTGCTGACCGCTCCACCTGTGAGCCCCAGGCAGCAGGAGCAGCAGCAGGAGCAGCTAAGGGTGCTCCTCCAGCCCTCCAGACGGGGGGGGGGGTAGGGCTGAGGTTGGAGAAGGCGGGGGGGGAGGGGACCCACCTCGGCCTCCTCCCCTTTCTCCCGGTAGGCACTGGCGATGCTGGTCTGCACTGCCTGGATCCACGCTTGCCGCAGCTTCTCTGAATCGGCCTGCAGGATGCAGCTCCTGCAGGGGAGAGAGAGAGAGGGAGAGGGAGGGAGGCCCAGCCGGCCAGGCAGGTGAGAACTCCTGGGGCGCCTGGCTTTTAGCAGCAGCTGCCCCCCCCCACAATAATAAGGGTATAAATGGGAAATCAATTCACACCTTCCAGCCTTAATGTCGCCCCCCCACCCCCACCTCACCACGAGCCCCAATTCACACTCCTGAAGTTCAAGCCTTTCCCCAACACAATCCTGGCATTTTTTGGGGGTGTGTGTGTGACATTAGGATAAAGTGGGAACAGCAGCAGCTTCCTGTCTGTAAAATCCTCCCACCGATTTGGGGGGGGGAGCTAAACAACCGTATCCAGGGAATGTGGGGAGGGGACAGATGAAGGCAGCTTTGGGAGGGGGCTTCTTGCAGGGTTAGAGGTCCTCTGATCCCGCTGGAGGTCTCCCTTGCCCAGAAGTGAGAGGGGGGAGACCCGGGCTCAGCTCTCCTTCAGCCAGACTGACTCTGGGAAAGGACTTAAGGATAAGAGGCAGAGCGTCTTCCAGCAGTGCTATCTGAGGCTTCCTCCCAGAAGCCGATATTCCTACCGGACTCATTTCTACTGTGGCAAAGTGTGGTCAAGTTCAATCTTGGTTAGGAAGGTTGTTTCCTTTCTGGTTGAGCATACTGTGCAAACTCAAACCGGCCAATTTGTGCTTTCAAAAATTGCACAAGCTCAGAAAGGGGTCAATTCGGGAAGCAGTGGGTGAGACGGACCCCTGGCTGTTTCCCCAGTTCCACTCCAATTCCCCAGGAAATCAAGGGCAGGGGGCCCCGTCTCCCACCCTTCCCTTCCGGCATCAGATGGCCAGAGGCCTCTGATCGGCTTGACCCTCCCCTCCCCCCATGAGGGAGAGGCCTCCTTGCTCCCCCTGGGGACGGGCCCCAGAGGCGTCCAGGGCCCGAGTCCTCCCACTCACTTGGTTGGAGACACCACCTCGAAGCAGAAGCGCCTCTCCAGGTCCTCGCAGGGCTTCACCGAGCACAGCCGCAGGTCTTCAACCACCACGGTGGGCGCATCCTGGGGGGAGGCAGGGAAGGCTCAGCTCTCTCCGCACAGCCCGGGCCCCACCCGGAGCCGCCCCGAGAGGGAAGACGCCCGGGGAGGCAGCACAGGCCAAGGGGCAATTCCCTGGGCAGCTGGGCGGGAGGCTCCTCGGGACCCGGATGGGCCCAACTGGGCGGCCGAGCGCTGGGCTCGAGCAAGCGCAAGAGGGAGGGAGGGAGGGAGGGTCGGAGGGAAAGGCCAGGGGCGGCCCAACGTGCCCAATGCTAAGCTGTGCCCGGCCAGGCAAGGGAGGGGTCCTCCTGAGCCAGGTCAGCCTTGCACTTGCTATGTGCGGGATGGGTGCCTGCCCACCCGGCCCCACCCCTGTCCTGGGCCAGCGATCAAGGGCAGAGAGGGTGCCGGCTTTCCAGAACCATCTTTATTTTGTCCTTGTTACTGAAAATAACCAAGCCAATGCAAGCCACCGCTCCAGATGGGGGGGGCAGCCCCTCCCCGGGCGGGTTCCCCAGCGCCCCTCGCGACGGAGGCCCTCCGGGACTCACCCTGAACTTCTTCTGGTAGACCAGCTGGTTGTTCTGGATGGAGAACCAGCGCCTGCAGCAGGGAAGGAGGCAGAGTCAGCAACGCCCTTCGGACAAGGAGACGGAGGCCGAATCCACCCGGACTCCCTCCGGCTGACTCTGAGAGGCTCCGCAGCCCCCTCCCCAAGCCCTCGGGAGGGGGGGGCTTTGTGTGTGTGTTTGTGTGTGTGTGTGTGTGTGAGAGAGACACTCGAACCCAGAGAAGGGCTGTGGAAAGCAGCCAGAGGGAGGCGTGCTCTAACAGCCAGAGGTGGGTGGGTGGGTGGGTGGGTGTGTCTCCAGGAGCAGCTTCTGGGCTTCCCCTCGTGACCTCCCGAACTGCTTTTGGGACTCTCTTTAACTTCAGCCCCAAAAGGAGACTGGCTGGCGGCAAATCCCTGGGACCTGGTTTATCCCCAGTGGCGCCACAATGGGGGGCCGGGACCCCAAGGCTGCTTGGAAAAAGGGCCAAAGGGGGGGGGAACCGAAGGGGCAGAGAGCACAGGGGGAGGGAGAGCTAATGGGGGGAGCTGCACCCCTTTACCTTTGGGTTCTTTTCTGAACACCCCACCCTCCCGCCCCACCCCGTGACAAATGCCGGTAACTCCAGAGACACACCCTTCCCCCTCCAAGTGACCACCCCCAACGCAGACTGAGTCCCAGCTGCAGGGGTCCCCCCACTGCCGGCCCCAAACAGCCCTGGACCGACTGGACGATTCCTTCCTCAGAAACAGCGACCCCACTGGCAGCCATGCCGGGCCCTGCTGCCCAGCTCAGCTGGCACTGGGGTGGCCACTGCTTTCCACCGTGCCAGGCAGATGCTGCCCTTCTGGGATTAGGTCCTTGGAGCGTCTGCTGGCAGGGCAGGGCAGGGCAGGGCAGGGCTGGGACCCCAGAGACCCTCACGTGGTAATCCCTGGCAAACACGGGCACCGAACTCTCCCCCTGCCTAGGGAGGGCAAGGGTGGGCTTCAACCCCACACGCTGCCTCTCAGGTGGGTCATCCGGCATCTATCCGGCAGGAAAGGCCACCACACAAGCCGAGAGTCGCCTCCATCCAGGGCGGCTCTCCCAGGAAACAAACTCCGATCCAGCCAGGGCTCTTGCTGCATTTTAAGAGGCAGCAGACCCCCCACTCAAAAACAGAGGAGGGGGGAATCAGGCACCTTCAGCCCCCCAAGAGAGAGAAACGGCAGAGGCAGAAGCGGAACCAATGGAATGACGGGAGGCCACAAAACTGCCAGGCAATGTGTGCAACAACAACGGGGAAGGTGCTGCTATCCCACCTGTGGGGGGGGGGAGAGAAAAACACTGAGTGGGGGGAGAGGCAAGAAGAGCGGCTCAGAAGGCACCGCCTAGTCTGGGGATGGGGGAGCACAGCTCAGAGGCAGAGGACCCCCCTCCCCATCGTCAGTCCACAGGAGGAGGGAGTCTTCCCTGAACGGCCAAGAGGGCGGAAGGGCTAAGCTCTCCTTGACCCCCACCATGGGCAGAGCCTCTCCCCTCCGGTGCCTCCCCCCACTTTATTTATTTGTTCGTTTGTCGTATTCATGTGGCCACCCATCTCGAAAAAGGGGTGACTCTGGGAGGCATACAACAAAGCTAAAAGCAATAAGGATATTCAAACAGTTATTAGTATTGTTATCATGAAAAGGCTTTATAAAAGGCATAAGCTAAAAGGAAAAATAAGGAAGCTATCGGGGGAGAGCGAGGTTAATGATCCCGGAGCCACTGAGACATCCGGAGAGGTAGAAGGGAGGGAGCCAGCCTCGCCTGTTAAGGGCAGTGGGCAGCAGCCTCTCTCTCTCTCTCTCTCTCTCTCTCACACACACACACACACACACACACACACACACACACACACGGGGGAGGGGAGTGGGGGGGGCAGCACTTCTGGGCCTCAGAAAAGGAGCCGAGCGAGGGAGGAGGAGGAGGAGGAGGCAGGCCGGGCTCAGAGCCACGGCCGGCTGGCATGCGTGGCCACACAACCAGGGAGGAAGCGCCAAGGAGGCACAAGCGGAGAGGTACCTGATGCCACTGGGGGGTTTCCTGTCAGGTGGAGAAAAGGAGGGAGGGTCAGAAGAGAAGCAGGAGGGAGACGGATGGAGAAACCAAAGTGAAAACAACCAGGCAGAAAACAAGCCGAGCAGAGCTGGGAGAGGAGGAGGAGGAGGAAGAAGAAAGGGAGCCCACCTAAGTGGCTCAGCTCTTGGGCACGGCCCCCCTTTCCCCCCCCCACGGCCGGGCAAGAGGGGGCAGCCCCTGCCCACGTGACTCAGCCCCACCAGTGCACCCTACAAAGCACCTGGACGAGAGCAGTGGCCGTGGGGCCCTCAAACTGCCTCACCGGCACATGCAAGCTCAAGAGAATATACAATAACAAGAGTTGGAAGGAACCCTGGAGGTCTTCTAGTCCAGCCTCCTGCTCAAGCAGAAGACCCTATACCCTTTCAGATAGATGGCTGTCCAATCCCTTCTTAAAAACCTCCAGTGACGGAGCACCCACAATTTCTGGTGGCAAGCAGTTCCACCGGTTAATTGTCCTCACTGTTAGGCAGTTTCTCCTTAATTCCAGGTTGCTTCTCTCTTTGATTGGTTGTTGTTTTTTGTCCTGCCTTCAGGTGCTTTGGAGAAAAAGGTTGACCCCGTTCTCTGTGTTAGCTCCCCCAAATACTGGAAGACTGCTGTCATGTCCCCCCTGGTCCTTCTCCCCATTAAACCAGACAGACCCAATTCCTGCTCTTTGTATGTTTTAGCCTACACACACACACACACACACTAATCCTTGTTGCTCTTCTCTGCCCTCTTTCCAGAGTCTCATCATCTTTTCTACATGGTGGTGACCAACACTGGATGCCGTACTCCAAGTGGGGTCTCGCCAAGGCCTTACAAAGCGGTCCTAGAGTGAAGGGACCCTTCCTCACGTGCTTCTGCCAAGTGAGGAAGACCCCTCCCAGTAAACGAGGTTGTCCCTCCAACTCACCCAACGGGTCAGCATCCCTGCCTCGGGCAAACTAATCCAAGGGCTCTGGAAATACAATCCTGGTGCTTTGCCTTTAGAAATAGGCCCAGCCTCAGAGCATCCCTTGGCAGCTCCCGGCGGCCTCCGTCTGCCCCTCTGCTACCGGGGAGAGGGCTCGGGGCCCATGGGCGTGCCAAATGCAGGTGCTCCCATGGTCCCTGGCCTCCTCCTCCTCCTCCAGCAGCTGAGGCTCTGGTGCCTTGACCTTTGCCCTCTCCCCCAGGGGCTCCTAACTAGCCTAAGGAAGGCTAGTTGCCCCTCCGGGTCTCAGGGACCCCTTTGAGCGATCCCGTCGCCCTGCTCTTCCACCGCCAGAGGGCTGTGCTGGGATGGCGCCCAGAGGGGCGGGCGGGAGGGGCTCTCTCCCGGGGAGCAAAGAGGCAGGAGGGCCTGGCATCTCCGGTGGGCAGAAAGAGGGCGAAGGCGGGCCCTTCCCTGGCAGTTCGCAGGGTGGATCTAATCGTTATGCAGGCAAGGGCCTTAGCCTGGCAAGATGTCTGCCTGTAGGCCAGCAGCCAGCAGCCGTAAACAAACTGCTCTGAGGGAAACTCTCTCGGCTCCTTGGGCCTGGACGGGGATGGGGGCACCCCAAAGCCGCAGTGCTCCGAGAGGCCGAGGCAGCTGGCCTGCAAGCCTCAGGTGCCGGGCGAGGGAGAGCCCCTGGGTGCTGGGGAGGAGGGGGCTCGGGGCTGGCGGCCAGCGAGTCAAGAGGCAGAGAGACGCTCCCCAGTGTGGCGCCTGCCCTCAGGGCTCCCTTTGAGGGAACGGCCTCACCTGTTCCAGGTCTTGAAAGCGTTACTGGCTCGCTTGAAGAGGTAGCCCTCCATGACGATGCCGTTCACCGCATCGACGTTGTACTCGAGCTTCAGGTCGTCGCTGGAGAAGCCCTGGCACAAAGAGAGGACCCCCGTCAGCCTCTGCAGGGCAGCCCGGAGCTGCTTCTCGGCTCACCTGGCAGGGAGGGAGGTGGGCCGGGTGCTGCTCCTGGGGTCCCCCAGGTCTTTCCCTGGCTTCCTGCAGCAGCCTGAGGAAAGGGCAGGGAGGACTCCGGGCCGAGGACAAGGACGGGTGCCCAGGACCCTCTGGCTCGCTGCCCGGGGTCCCCCATGCTGTCCACAGGGCCCCCCTCCGGAACTCCTCGTGAAGGAGAGGTCAGGCAACGAAGTCTGCAAGCAGACCACCACACTCGGCGCACACAGAGGACTCGTGCGCTGCGGAGGCTCTCATTGCCCTACAGCTAGAAAAGCACCCAGAGGCTTCAATGGGTCCGGAACAGGGCAGCAGCCGTGGCACTGATGGATGCACCTCGTCACGCCCACATAGACCTTGCAAGCTGCGCTGGCTCAGTGGGCTTCCGGGTGTGACTGAAGCTGTTGGGGGCCACGTTTAAAGCCCTACCTAGGGCAGGGGGCCGGTTACCCGAGGGCCACTTTCTCCCAAGAAGGTCTGCCTGCTCCCGCGTGACTGGCTCCTCCTTCAAGTCCTGTCACCTTATAAGACTTGTGCCTTTTCTGTGGCTGCCCCTGTTCTCTACAACGGCTTCCGACAGAGGTGAGCCAGAACTCTCCCCACCTTTAGGGAAGCCATGAAGAAGACCCGGCTCTTCTCCCAGGAATTGCACCTGGAAGCAGACCGGCAGCCGATGCAGCTGGCAGAGCAGTGGTGTAACAGGGGCCATTCTTGGGGCCCCCCAAACTGCCTGTTTGTTGTCTTTTTGGTTGAATAGAATAGAATAGAATAGAATAGAATAGAATAGAATAGAATAGAATAGAATAGAATAGAATAGAATAGAATAGAATAGGAATGGACCTTGGAGGTCTTCTAGTCCAGTCCCTTGCTCAAGCAGGAGGACCTATACCATTGCAGACAAGTGACTGTCCAGTCTCTTCTTAAAAACCTCCAGTGATGAAGCGCCCACGATTTCTGGTGGCAAGCTGTTCCACTGGTTGAATATCCTGTCAGGAAGTTTCTCCTTAACTCTAGGTTGCTTCTCTCCTTGACCAGTTTCCAACCATTGTTTCTTATCCTTCCCTCTGGTGTTCTGGCGAACGTGACCCCTCTTGTGGCAGCCCCTCAAATATTGGAACGCCGCTATCATGTCTCCCCTATGTCTTCTTTTCTTTAGACCGGCCATATCCAAGTCCTGCAGCCGTTCTTCGTATGTTTTAATCTCCAGGCCTTGGATCATCTTAGTTGCTCTTCTCCGAATTTTTTCCAAACTCTCAACATCTTTTTTGTGATATGGTGACCAAAATTGGCTGCAGTATTCCAGGTGTGGCTCTTACTAGGGTTTTATAAAGTGGTACTAATACCTCGCATGGTTTTGATTCTATACCTGTTTATACAACCCAGGATTGTATTAGGTTTTTTCCACTAGGACTCTAACCCTAACCCTCTCACAGTTACTATTTTTCAGCCAGGTCTCACCCAATCTGTATTTGTGCCTGTGGTTTTTCCTGCCTAAATGTAAAACTTTGCTTTTCTCCACACTGAAACTCATTTTGTTGGATAGGGCCCATTGTTCAAGTCTGTCAAGATCTTTTTGGATCCTGAGTTTGTCTTCTGAGATGTTGGATACTCCTGCCAGTTTAGTGTCATCTGCAAATTTGATGAGTTCCCTTTCAATTCCCTCCTCTAATTCTAAGTCATTGATGAAGATATTGAAGAGTGCTGGGCCTAAGACAGAGCCTTGTGATATCCCACTGCTCGCTTCTCTCCATGTGGATGTAGTGCCATTGAGGACTACTCGTTGAGTATGGTTTATCAGCCAGCTACAGATCCATCTGGTGATGATGTTGTCTATTCCACCTTTTTCTAGCTTACCAAGGAGTAAGTAGTGGTCTATTTTGTCAAATGCCTTGCTGAAATCTAGGTATCCTACATCCACTGTGTTTCGCTGGTCTACTAGTTTAGTCACTTTATCAAAGAACGAGATAAGATCGGTTTGGCATGATCTGTTTTTAACAAACCTGTGCTGGATACTAGTTATGACTCTGTTTGCTTCTAGGTGTTCTATATTCTAGTTGTTCTATCCTATGTCTATATGTTGTACACTGCCCAAAGACACACAGTCTGAGTGGGGTGACCTTGTAGATCTTGAAACCAACCATCCTTCTTTCCTGCAGAGAGAGCGGCAGGCCCCTAGCTGCGTCTATCCAGATTATTTTGCATGGTGCTCAGAACAATTCCGGGGATCAAGACAAGGCTCTGCTCTGGGCATGCCAGTTTTTCATGAAAAAAGAAAAAGAAAATAAAAATCAGAAGAGAGGCAGAGAGAGGCTAGGCGTGGGCACCACGGTGCCCGTTCCTTTCCTGCCCACAAAGTGCCGGATCCACCCCTGCTCTTCCCAAAGCCTCATGGCAGAACTGACCACATCGTTTCTCCTTCACGAAAACCAGGAATGGGGGTGGGGGGGGCGGCTGGGAGCGGAGCCAGGGGAATTCAGGCTGGCCCTGTCCAGCAAATATGGACAATTAAAATTGTGTGTTTCTCCTTAGGATTAAACCTTTATAACCATCCCAAATTACATTTTCATTCCTTTAGCACACTCTGAAGGATTATTCTGTTCCTTTTCCCATTTTCAATGTTTTATTGATCCCTGCATAAATACTTTTTTAAACTGCCAGCGAGGTATCAGCCGTTACTTCTGTTTTACCCGGCACGGCAGGAAAAGTGTGGAGGATTTACCAGCAGCCCTTGCTTCAAGGTGGGACCCCAGGACCCTCTCTGGAGAACACACCACCCCCGGGGCAGAGGACTTGGAGGCTGGGCCCCTGAGCCAGGCTGGGGTCACTTTTCCCTGGGTGTCAAAGCAGCGTCTGGCCCAAAGCCACGGAAAGGCCCCATCCTGCTGCTCAGCGCTTGAGACACCCGGAAAGCAGGCACTCAGCCTCTCTACAGGGACATCCAGACTCCAAAGGGCAATGGCACCCTGCACCAAGGGGCCGGGCCTTGGGGCAGTTCACCTGGGCGATGATGGAGGCCTCCCCAGGCCACCCTGGCCCCACCTGCAGTGGAGGAGGTAAAGCTCCCCTTTCCTCCACACAGCAGCCGCCCCGTCCCCGCCAGCCCCACTGAGAGCTGTCTCTGACAGGGTGAGCCGGAGGTTTGCTCCGCTGCCACCGAAGGCGGGTGTGGGTGGGTGGGTGGGCGGTTTCCCCAGCCATGGCTGCTCTTCCATGGGTCTCCCGCACGCAGGTGCCCTGACCCGCTGGGGGCAGTTGGCCCTTGACCCGCAAGAGCCCACAGGTGGGGCAGGCGCTCTCGGCCGGCACACCCTCCGGTACCTTCTGCTGAATGGTGGAGTGCTTCTGCTCCATCTCCTTCTTCTCCCTGGCCGCGTCCAAAGCCAGCTGGTCCAGCTGCAGAAAGGACAAGAAGGAAGCCCACAGAGCCTTGGGTTTCATGCGCCTGCGCCCGAGAGGAGCTGCCCTTCCCCGGGTTTACCTGGACAGGCGAGGAGGCCCTGCCCCTCTCCCACCGCGCTGGGTCAAGCTCTGCCTCTCTCCCTGCCTTTCTCGGGGGGGGGGCTGGAGTCCAGGGAGCCCCGGGGTGCCTAGCACATGCGGCTGGACTGGCGCATCGCTTCGGGCTGGAGAAAAGGATGACTCATGCAGCCTTCGCAGCCTCGGCTGCCTGGCCAGAGCCGCTGGGAGAGCAGCAGCAGCAGCAGCAGCAGCAGCGGAGGCAGCAGTGCTGGGCTCTGGCCATGGTGCAGGAGGGAGAGCTCTGCTCAGTGCCTGGCGTGAAGCTCCTGCCAGCAGCTGAGGGTTCGGGGGCTTCTGGACCGGCCTCAACCACCCCGCTGAGGTTGCCAGGAGCAGCCGCAGCAAAATCCTCCAAGGCTGGGAGAGCAGAGGGGCCCTCTTGGCCTCCCACTGCCCCCCCCCCACTGGGGGCAAGAAAGGGGAGATGCTCTGGCAGCAGGAAGACTGTCTCTGTCTCTGTCCCCTCATCGGCTGACTTTCCGCCCTCGGGGCTCGCCCCCCCCTCACAGCCCTGCCTCTGGGGGCACCCCTGCCTCCCCTTCGCTGGAGCAGCCCCCTCCCTCCCTCGTTACCTGAGCGCCCAGGTCCTTCATGTAGGGCCCCAGTTCACTGAACAGGTCGTAGCCTTGGTGGAAGAAGGCCAGGTGGGCACACATGAAGGACAGCATCTGCGGGGGGGAAGGGAGAGAGGGGAGGGGAGGGGAGGGGGGAGAGGCAGATGAGGCGGGTGGCCCCTCTCCAAACCTCGCAGGGGGAGGGGAGGCTGGGACCGGGGGACCTTTCCCTTTCTAGACCCAGGAGGGCGGCAGGCGCTTGAAACACCAACACCCGTGGAAGCCACCTCCGTCTTCACTGAACCCCCGTTTGAGCACTTTGGGGATAATGGGCCAGGTAGTTCCTCTACGGGTTGTAGAGGCCATGCATCAAATGACCCACCCACCCGATTCTGCGACCTCTTTTATGGCACTTGTCAAGCGACTGCCAGCTTTTCATAACACGAACCAACGGATCGCTATGGGCGGTTTTGCCAAAAAACAGAAGTAAATGCCGGGCTTTGGCAAAACCACTGTAAACCACAGTCCCGTGTGACTGCGGGACACTGCAAACCATGAATGTGATCACAAGAAAGTGTGTGTGGGGGGGGTTGTCCATCGGAACTTCAGAACAGGGTTGTAAGCACCCTTGGGGAGGGGCCTGTGGGGCCACCAGCGCTGTCCCCTCCGCGCAGTGGAGCCACCTACCGACTTCAGGATCTCCGACCGCCTCTTGGACTGGAGAACGTTGATCTGGGAGAGGGAGAGAGACCCGTTTGCTTTGCTGAGGGAGGGGAGAAGGGGGCGGGGAGGGGACCCCGCAGTGGACGGCAGGCAGCCCCTGCCTTGGGGGGGGAAGGGGGGGTCTGGGAAAAGTTCCCCATTGCTCCCAAGGGAAGCTCAGCGGGAATTTCAGGCTCAGGACGAAGGCAGGCAGGCAGGCAGGCAAGGTGGCGGTCAAGCCTCACCAGGGAACTGACCAGTCAGCAGGGCTGCCCTCTCGCCTCCCAGGACCCCTCGTGGCAAAGACCCCACTTCCACCGCTCTTCGCCCAGCCCCCTCTCCCCCCCCCCCGGAGGCCTCTTCGTCCAAAGGAGGACTTGCTTCCTCCTCCTCCTCCTCCTGGACAGGAGCCGGCTGCCTGGCTGTTCCCCGCCCCTCCCCTCCCCAGCCAAATAGAGCAGGGCCCCCAGGAGCCCCTGCTCTGTCCCAGGGCTCCCCAGCCCTCCCTGGGCGGACGCCCCCCCCCTGCGCCGGGCTCACCTGCAGCACGTAGTCCAGCGCGATGTGCCGGAAGCACTTCCGGGTGGCGGTGAGGATGTTGGTGGCCTCCTCGACTTCGTGCTGCTTGTTCCTGGGCGCCTGGGCGTTCTTGGCCAAGGCATTCTCCTTCTCCTCGCTCACTTTCTCAAACTGCTTCTTGGCATCTTTGAACTTCCGGATGTCTCTGGTGCGCGTGGGGGAAAATAAAACGGCCAGGTTCCCTCCAGCCTTTCCCACCACAGAGCCCCGCCCTGAGCGGGACCCACTCCTTTCCTTTCCCCAAGAGATTCGACGGGGGCCTCTGTCCGCGTGGAAAAGGGGCCAAGGGACTCTGGGTGCAAGCAGGGTCACGAGAGGGCCCCTTCCGCACCCTCCAGAACGGGCTGAGCAACGGGCGGACGGCTGGCCTTCCGGACGTGGGCCGCCTGGAGCTCCTGGAGAAAAATATCAAACTGCCTCCCAACTCTGAACCCCCCCCCCACTGCCCCGCACGCCCGCCCACCAGGATGACCTGGAAGACTCCCGGCAAAGCCACACCCTGCACAAAAGGGGTCCCAAACGAGGGAGTTGTGCTGCTTTCGGCCCTGCAACGACACCAGAGCCGGCACACACATTCACAGACACACACACCCCAGCACTTTTGGTGTCCTTACGTCTGCCCTGCGCTCTCCTCTCTCCCCCCTTGTGCACAACGTCTCCCTTGGCCTCAGCCAGGCTCCCGTCACGCATCCATCTTGGCCAAAATGAAAGTTCACTTACTCTTTAACGAACATCTGAAGCTGTGCTTTAATGGACCTCTGGGTCTGGTCAAAGAGGATCTGAAAGGGGAAAAAGCTCAGGCCGAGAGAAGCCCCTTCCATACAGCAGCCCCCAACAACCACTTTCCAGCTCCTGGTCTTCGGCCGAAGCTTCTGCTACTCTCCATGTGGGCAACAGCCCGGTTTAAAAACAACAACAACAACAACAACAAAAACTTGCCTGCTATAATTTGCCTTTAATAGCTTATTTTATGTCATCATGCATTGCAACATCTCTTTATTTATTTATTTGGCTTTTACACAACTTTCGTTTTAGCAGACTGTTTAAGTGGACGGCAGCGCAATAAACTGAGTCCAACCTACGGATGCAACATGTTGAAATGGGCCAACAACAGAACGTGGCCTCTTCAGCCACTTCACAGCCCTTCCTCCTGGCTTGCTGGGACCCCCTCAGGCCACAAGGGGTTACTCCCCCCCAGCACTCCTTCCCCCCCCCCCACACATGAGCCTGAAGCCCTGAAGGGCAAAGGAGACTCCCCTCCGTGGGGCCATGGCCGGGGAGGGGGGGGCAGATGCCCTGGGGGCCCCTTCCCCTCCGTCTGTGAACCGGGGTTTGGCTGCTGAGCGGGCAGCAGCCTGGTGGACTCTGAGCTGTGCTGCCCTGCCAAAGAGGGTGAGAAGAGCGGCCAGCTTAACTAAGGGGACTCACTCAGAAGAAGCCCAAGGCGGCTTCAACCAAAGGGGGGGGCCTCGCAAGCAAAACCCCACTGAATTGGCTCAACACCTCTCCCCCCCCAGCCTAAGCTCTCTCTCCAAGCAACTTCCCCCTTCACTGAACCTTGTTGGCTCCACTTGGAGAGTTGCAGAAGGATATTTCCCATTAATGGAGACTCAGCTGGGATTTAAGAGCCGCCCCCTCCCCCTCCAAGCGTGGCCCTCTTGGGCTCTGCTCCTGCCCACATCAAGACGGCCTTCCCCACAAGCCTGCACAACGAAGGAAACATTTCAAAAGTCTGGCTGCCCACTCCCACCCCCCACCCATCCCATGCGCTTCGGAGGGAGGGGCAGGGCAGTGTTCCAGACGGGAGGCCACGGCAGCAGGAGCCCCGTGCCAAGAGCAGCGTTCCAGGAAGTCTGCTGGAAGAACTGAGTCACCCGCTCGCCATGCGAGTTCACAAGTAACTTTAAAAAGAGGCACCCAAAGTCCACGAAGGGCATCCAGACGTGGTTACAGCCAACCACTCGCTCGTCAGATACGTTCCACCTTCTGCCCCAACGAGGTTGCTTCCAAAACTTACCGAGTGGTAATTGATCATCTCCTGGAGGCTGTCGGAGAACTTTGACAAGCTGCCCTAGGAGAGAAAAACGGAGGGATGAAAAGCAGCACCCAAGAGAAGAGGCCCAGCATCTCCTCCTGAAGACCCAACGGGCTCCCTCCCTCCCATCCACCCACCTACCCCCAGCATCCAGGCTGAGGGCCGCACTCGGGACCAGGGACTCGCCAGGCGGTTGGAGTCCTCCAGGGACACTGAGGGGTGAAGGAGCAGCCATGCCTTGCCTGAGCCTGAGGAGGCAACCCCGGGAAGCCCCAGGAGCCAAGGAGAGGCTGGCCTGACCGCCCTGGAGCTCAGCTCTTTCCCCCTCCCAGGCCCAGGTCTGGACGGGAACCTTCCCCTCCCACCACCACCATTTACCTCCACCAGGCCATCCCTGCTGGAGTAGTGGGCCAGATCCCGGAGGCCATGGATGAACTGCTTGTTTGCCACACAAAAGGCCTTCCCGGTGTCAATCATGGCAATGCAGAGCTTCACCAGCTGGAAGAAGAGCAAACGCCCTCAGGCCCTGCCTCTGAGAGCCCAAGGCCTGGATGGAAGTGGGTCGCCCGCCCGTGTCGCTCTCTGCTAAACTGGGGACCGCTCCCCCCCCCCCGTTCTTGCCCTTCTGCCACGCTCTCCTTCCTGGGTGGGCATCTTGTGACTCCTGCTGGGTCTCTCTTTTATCCTCCCAGTAAAATCCAGGGATCCCTCAGCACCGCCCTGGAAAGCCAGGCTGAACTCAGGTCCTCCGTCTATTCCCCCCCCCGTATCTCTGTCTCCCGAGAGAGGGAGGCGACTGAGGGACATGGAGGTCCAGGGTATCCCCCTGCGCAGGTGGCCCTGCCTGGGCCGGCAGGCTGCCACTCTCAGCTGCTCTGGAGGACCCAGGCCAGCCCATGGGACCCTCCCCAAGGACCAAGGACCCCCCCAGGGGGCTCGCCACATGAAGCCCTGCCCTCCCCCCTCCCCCCAGGGCTGAGCCTGGGCTTCTGCTCATTCCGGGCTCCAGACGCCCCTTTCCAGGGAGAACTTCCCCTTTCCTGCCAGTTCTTTATTCCGGGGCAACGTGACTCACCCATCTGCCACAGAGAGGAAGCCACGGCCGAACTCAGGCTCCTTCGCAAGAGAGCTGCAGGCAGAGAGAACCTCGGTTTCCCCCCCCCAATGTCTCAGACCCCCCCCCGACGTCTGTCTCTGTCCTCAACTTATAGCAGTTCAGGTAATGACTGTTTAAAGTTACAACAGCACTGAAAAAAGTGACTTATGACAATTTTTCACACTTACAACTATTGCAGCATCCCCATGGTCATGTGATCAAAACTCAGCCACTTGGCAACTGACTCCTATTTATGACGTTTGGATCGACGTATCCCAACATAACCAATCAATCTGTGGCCACTGAGCTTCATCAACTGAGGACCGGCCACCCACCCTCTCATGGCCGGCCAATCTGGGGGTTCCCAGCCCTCCCCCCGCCCAAGAAAGCCTTGACACGTTTTGCTCTGCTAGTAGAGGAACGTCCCTTTACCCCTCCCCACCCCTGGCCTTCCGGTTCATTCTTTCACAGGTCTTAAAGGTCTAATTATGTCCCTCTCCGACTTCGGGGGTTCGCTTTTTAAAAAAACATCGCAGTTTTATTTATTACAATACTTTTAAACGTTTAGACTGACTACATCCATTTGTTGTGCCAGCGAACTATGTTTCAAAAGCTGCTGGGGGTTGTGACCCTGTGCCTGCCGTGGTCACCAGAGCCCCTCTCCCACCCACCCACCCAGCAGAGGCAGCCCAGGGGAGGCCCTCACTTCTCCAGCAGCCACCAGCCGTCCTGCTGCAGAGCAGCCCTGGAAACAGCCGAGATGACAAATGGCCGCTCGCCACGGACACTCCACGCCTGGGGTGGTTTTCTGGCTAGCGGTCCAGAGTCTTATTGTTGGACTGCAACAACGCAATCCGCTTATCCCGAATGGCCCCAATTCAGCCACAAACCCTCCTTGCTGGCGGAGGAACGGCAAGGAGGGGAGGCAGGAACAAGCCAGGGGCCGAGGACAGTCAGGGGACAACAAGGCTCCTAAGCAGCACCTCCGCCCAGGCCACAAAAGGCCATTTCGAATCCAAGAGAGGACGCCCCAATTAACTCCCTCTAAATCAGGGCAGGGAACTCCTGTCAGAGTTTCCACGATTCTGCATTTGCGCCAAAAACAGACGGCCTCTGGCCATAATTGGGATGGCGCTCGCTTGTTAGCGCTCCCTCAGCTGTGCGGGGCTCAATATCCCTCTTGGAAACTGTGCAGGGTAGCTCAGCACCTCAAGGGGTCACTGGGGCAGATGCAGCCTAGAGGCTGGTAAGGGGAGCCAGGCGAAAATCTTGACCATGGTGCCCCCCCCATGGAGGAAACGGAGCCAAGTGGCAGGCAGGATTCCACCCCTGGACTGCTTCGCCAGCGGTGAACAGCCCACCCGAGAAGCTCTATAAGGATCCGCACTGGGGGAGGAGGCGCCAGCGGGGAAACAGGGGTCTCTCCTGGTGCCCTTTGACAGGTTTATAAATGGGGGACAAAACCCCGACTTCCCTGGCACCCCTACCGGCTTCTGTCTCTTGACCAGGGTTGACCCCTCCTCTCCCCACACTCTCTCGCTCAGCCCCTGGAAGAGCCCCACCCACAAGAGCAAAGCCTCTCCAGACCGGCTCCCGGGGCCAGGAGGGAGGAAGAAGCTGCCTGCATGTCTGAGTGCCTTCCACGCTCCCCAGACAGCATGCCAGGCACCAAAGTGGGGCAGAACTCTCACCAGTCTCTCTTCTACTACGCTTCCTAGAGATTAAGGACGGACCTTTTGGCAGTAGGACTGGCACCCTGCCAGCTCCCCTGCTTCTGGGCAAGGGTGAACGGTGGGGCCTACAAGCCTTGTCACCACTGAGGGAAAGAACTGCTTATCCAAGACTTGTGAGCAGCACGGAAAGCAGAAGTGGGGAGAAACTCCCTCGGAGGCTGCACTTCCATGGGCCTGGACCACAGGGGAAGCGTTTACCTCCAGTCCTCAGGCCTCCAGCTGGCCTGCAGGAAGCCCTTGGGCGGGGGAGGGGGGGCAAAGGCTTCCCAGAACTGAAAAGACGAAGCTCAACACGAAAGGTGATGACGAGCCCCTCCAGAGCCTCAGCCAAAGCTGCACCTCCTCCACCCTGCGGTCCTCACGCCTCTTTCTCCTGCACACAGGAGAGCAGCGACCCCCAAGGGGCAGAGCAGCTGCTGGAGGGCACATCTCACAAGTCAGAGGGAGGGAGGGAGGGAGGGAGGGAGGGAGGGAGGCATCATCAACACGGAGAAGACAACAACCGTTACTCAGTGTCTCCACCCTGCGCCAGCCGGAAATGCAGAAGCCTTGAGCGGCTGCTGACCGGCTGAACAGGCTCAGGCTGAACCCGAGTGGAGTGGAGTGGAGTGGAGAGCACTCCACAGGTTGGCTGGTTCTGAGGGGCTCCCCTTGTTGGTTCTCCAGGAGCCTGTGCCCCCCCCCCCAGTGAAAGAGCGGTCTGTACTGGCAGCTCCTGCAAGGCCAGCAGGGTGGAAACTGTGGCCGGGAGGCCTTTGCCTGGCTGCAGCTGGTGTATTTCGCTTGTGTTAAGGGCTGCTCTGCTATCGCTGCTTTACTATCGTTGTAAGTGCGTCAGATACGATCCAATCAAAACGCCATAGTGATTATGGTCATCAATAAGCCAAGCCCCTTCTACCCATTATTTAACTGGATGTGCACTCATTTTATGGAGGAAGGTCTTCATTTGCAAATACTTCCCACAAATGGCACCCCAGGCAAGCTTTGAACATATGTGGAGAAGAGGATGCGAGGGCCGCGTCCAATTCTAAAGCCAGGCATGCAAATCGCTGCCCTCGTGCAAATTGCCAGACGGGGTTCCCATCTATCTCAGGGCAAACGGGACTGTGAGGCTTCCTCTGAGCCAACCTCCCTTCCAAAAGAGGATCCGCAGAGGGAAACACAACCGGTGTGTCCCAAAGGGAGCGGAGGAGCCCTGCGAAGAGCCCACCGTTCAGGCGAGGACAGAGGCTCTAAGTCCCAGAATTGAAAAGGAGAGTTACAAAACGCAGAAGGAAAAGCGAAGGTGGCTGGGCGATCCGGAAGGGCTCCGTTGCCCTCCCGTGGGCAAGGGGGAGCCCCTCGACTGGGTCCCAGAGCCGGGTTTGCTCACCTTGTCCAGCTTCAGCTCCAGCTCAGTGACGTCTCCTTCGACGTCTTCCAGGGCAGCCCTGCAAGGCGGGACATGAGATTTCATCAGCACTGATTTGTGCTGCCTTCAGTCCGGAAAAGTCCCAATGATTAACCAACGAAGCAAATTTTTTACACAGGGGAACCAGAGCTGCACTGATGTCCTGAGCAGAGGGAAGCCACCGTCGGGCCTGAGACGGAGAGCCTCGGGGGACCTCCATCGGCTCAGGTCCCTTCCTCGTCTGACGGAAGGCTTTCGGAATCCCTCTCCGGAGGATTCTGCCCTCCGGCTTCTTCATCGGGGCCTTCGGGGAGCGCCAGATGCTCAGCAGCGGCTGCTCCTCCTTTCCGCGGCTCCCTTGCACGGTGTGGATGATGCATCATCCCCGCCCCGACCCGGGCACCCTCCCCCTCCCCGGGGTGGGGTGGGGGGGGAGGATGAGGGGCAAGGAGGGGCGCTCCTGCCGGGTCGAGGGGTGAAGCCCGGAGCAGCACCGCTTCTCCACCCCCTGATGGACGCACCGGGAGCAGGACCCTCCTGGGGGGGACTCGGGGCTTCCCCCCCTTTGGAGACGCCCCCCCCAATTCGGGGGGGGGGCGTGGCGGGGGCCCGACCCGCACTGGGCGAGGGACCCTTTGCGGCCCGGCGCCCGCGCGGTTGGCCGTCTGCCCGGTCTCTGGGCCCCGGCCTTCGCGGCCACACCTGCCGGGACCCCCGGGGCTTTCCGGAGCAGCGACGGAAGGGAGCGGGCGAACCGGCTCCGGGGGGGCCTCCTCCAAGACGCGCCTCCCTCGCCCCCGGGCGGCCGCCCCCTTCCAGCCTCGGCGCCGGGACGGGCCCTCTCCGGAGGTCGCGGGCCCGGGGAGAGCGGAGGGCCCTACCGGAAGCGGGGCGAGTCCTTCAGGCACTCCTCGAAGTCGACGGCCACCCGCATCCCGAACGCCCCGTCCGCGCTTCCGGCTCCGCGGGACTGGATGCGGGGGGAGGGGGCAGAGGCAGCCCCGCCCACCCCGGGAGAGGGGCGGGCGCTTCCCGAAAGCCAATCCGGGCCGTTGAGCGGAGGGCTTCCGTACGCCGCCCTCTCAAGCCGTGACGGGCGCCGCCGGGATCCAACCGCGCGAGGCCTCCACCCCTCCGCGCCAATCACGGGCCGCCAGGGACGACTGGCCAATCGGCTTTGACCCAAGCGCCGCCAATCCACGAGGAGCGTCGTCCACGGCGAGGAGGCGGGGCCGCCAGCTGGGACTTCAATTCCCGTCGGCCCCCTGCAGCTGCGCCTCGTTCGCGCGGCCGGAGAGGCGGGCTCCGCTTTCGGCTGCCTGCCCGACGGCGGCATACGCGGCTGCGGCCCCTTTCGCGGCACCTGCCCGCCCGCGCGGCCCGAGCACGGGAGCGGCCAGCTCAGGAGCTCCCCTCCTCCTCCTCCGCCTCCTCCCCCGCCGCGAAAGACGCCAAGCGGGGCGGGGGGGCCGCTTGGCGGGCTCAGGGCTCTCTGGTCCCCCCTCCCCGCCCCTTTCCAGGGCTTCCCTCGGCTTCCCTCGCGGGTTTCAGCCACCACGCGGGCTTTTGGGCGTCCCAGGCGAGCCCTCTTGTGGTCAGCTGCGGAGGGCGGTCAAGATGGGCTGCATGAGCTCAGAGTCGCCTCGCAGCAACAGAGGGGGAGGGGGGGAGACACACGAATGTAATAAATAAGCTAAATCCGGGGACCCCCGCCAGAAAAGCCCCGTTCCTCCTCACGGGGGGAGGACTCACCTGCCAGGGGTGCTGGGGGCAGCGGGGGTGGGGGGTGGTGGGGAGAGGAGCCTCCAGGTTCACCCAGATCCCCACCGTGACTGGCCAGGGGAAGGGCCGCAGGGGCCAGAGGTAAAGGAGGAGGGCCTGTGGAAGCCAGCCAGCCAGGTCCACTGCAGTGGCCTCCGTTCAGGCCAGGCCTCCCAAGGCGCTGCGGACTCCCTGGGCTCTCCTCCTCATCTAAGACAGTGCCCCCCCCCCCGCCCCAGCCTTTTGGGCACCAGGGGTCGGTTCTGTGGAGAGAGGTGTTTCTGCAGACCGGAGGGGGGACCTGGTTTCGCCTGCTGCCAGCATCCTGCGGAGGGGGCATGTCACAGACCGGTGCCAGTCCATGGACGGGGGGTGGGGGGGTGGGGACCCCTGATCTAAGACAAGAAAACAGAGGGGAACAGTAGAGCAGAGTCCGGCCAGGACTCCAGGAATACGTTCATTGGTGCCAAGCATCAGAGCAAGGTCACCCGCCTACGGGGATTTTGCTACCATTTCAGTCTCAAGTCATTTTGCCCCAAGGAGGGGATATTCACCTGATCTGCTGGTTGGAAAATACACTCAGTGGTTTCTTTACTTTAATAAAACAGTTACACGGAGGAAACAAGCCAGTGAAATGGAATCCAGAAGTGAAGGAGCAAATTCAGTAGCACAACCTGGGTATTTTCTAGGCAACTTCAGCTTGTTAGAACATTCAAAATAATATTTACAAACATTAGCTGACCAACAGATGCCCCTCCCTCTTCCGAGGCTTAAAAAGCCCAAGTCTTAAGAAAATCACAAAGGCCAGTCAAACTACAAAACAACTGTTTGATTCAGTTTCATTCATGACACAGGGAGAGTGCAGAGGTTACTGAAAAAAGAGCACAGGATAACATGGGGCTGTGGGAACGCTGCCTCTTCTAGTTAAGAAACAAAAGCAGGTGGCTGTGCATTCTGTCTGGGCCACACCGGGGTCTCAAGAGGCGCTCTCTGGCTGCCGGGTGCTGTCATTTAACTTTTATTTTCTAGAGGCTGGCAGCCTCCGACCAGGTGGGGAGGCACCCTGAGAAGCAGAGAGGCCTCTGATGGAGGAAAGAGGCCCCTATTGTGGTGTTCCCAATCCTGGCCAACTCAAATGGAAAAAAGGTACGGCAGCTACTGAGGCAGGCAGGCTGATCGACTCCCACCTCCGAACAGGCAGCTGGGAAAGCCATGCCCAGCTGCTCTTTCCCTCTCAAGCGGCTGAGGCAAGAACCGCCTGCCTGCCTCTCAGAACCCGCTGGATAAAGTCTGCAGGAGGGGAAGGGGAAAGGCTATAAAAACTCTCTCCCGTTCATCCCTTTTTGCAGCAAAAGGCCTCGTCAGTTGCCAAGAGGCTCGTTCTTTTCCTGGCTGCAGTATGGCACATTAACATCAAGCCCTTATGGGGATATTTGTGTGTACTCAAATACTACAGCACGATAAAAGAGGCAATTGTCCAGGGGTTCAGACCAGGGAAAGGGGTGACACCAAAGGGTCTGGCTCACTGGCGCTACCCCACGCTGTGTTCTTCGGCAGATGAGCAACGAAACCTTCTTCTGTGACCACCAGAACCAGCCACATCAGCAACATTTTCACTGCCAAACAGAAAACCTTGAGATCACCACCGTTTTTGTCAAAATATCAAAGTGCAAGCCAACCTGTTGAAACAGACCTGCAGAAGGGTGATGTGGCAAGGAATACAAAAGGGTGACTTTGGGAGCTATTACAGTCCTGAGCAGACTTCTTCTAGGCTGTGTGCCATGTTCTCAAGCGGGTCACTAGAAGCAGGTACTGTGGGGAAAAAAGAGAAGAGCAGAGGTGGGTGGTCACAGCAGGCAACACGAGGCATCCCAGCGGCGGGACAGGCCTTTGTCGTCTGTGAGGCAGATCAAGAGGCTTGCTAGTGGCAGGGAACCCTGCTGGGCCGTTTAAAACAACACAGGTTAAGTTTCAACAGCACATTCCTATAGTTTTTGAACTCTTAATACTTGCTGTGGAAATCAACGAATCCATAGACTTATCAGTCCTTCACGTGCCAATTCCTGAAATGAGATGGAATGTCTGGTTTTCCGAGCAAATCCACAGAGCAAACTGAGCATCCCTAAGGGCACGTGCTGCCCTTCACCCCCACATCCCCATTCAGGACTTTTGAGCTCCCAGTGGGGTTAAAATGGTCTTTCCATTGCCAAAATCTGCCTGTTGGACATGGCTGTAGGGGATCAAACGATCTGCTATTGCCCGTCCGCAGCATCTCCCTACAACTGCTACTCCAGACAATCCTAACTGGCAGAAAGCACCAGTGTCTGCTGTTGCCGATCCCACAAGCCTGACCCCCCCCCCCCCACATGGACGAAGGCGCTGGGAAGGGCCTGCCTACCGAGACTCTGATTTACGGACTATCCTGAAGCACAAAGGAAGCGGCCCAGCTCCTGCAGGCAGAGCAAAGGGGGTGGCAGGATCACCCTCAGCGCCCCACTGTGGGAAGCACAGACCGGGTCAGACTCAAGAGGCCCCCTCGGACCTCTTAAGAGGGAGACTGTGATATATGGCAGGCTGATCAGGAGACGAGAGACGCCTCCCCTTTAGTATTTTTTCTTGAAGAACGTTTTTTAATCCCCAATTCAAGACTACACGTGGACTATTTACCTTTGTGCCATGTCACCTAGAGTCACCAACAGTTACCCCAAGGAAAAGGAAGATAAAGGCTTCGATTCCAGAAGGGAGAAACGCTTTTAAAAGCGTCACCGAAGGGGGGCTGGGCCTTGTATCCCCGAGCTCCACCTGCAGGAGTGTTCAGAGGCAGCAGAGGAGAGCTGAGGCCGAGGGCGCTTGCCCAACTCACAGCAGAAGCCTCTGACATCCAGACCCCAAGTTTTGGACTAGCCGGTAGCCTGCCAGCAACTGTGAAGAGGCTGCAGGGGTTCCCCTCCTGCCCTGGTCATCTCCGAGGGGCTTCTTGCATTTTACATGAGACACACACACACACACACCCCCGAAAAGCAACCGGAGGCTTTAGCAGGATCAGCACAGAGCCAGGCGGGCAGTTGTGAGTGCACTTTGATATGCCCATGTTACACCTCTACCTTGTGAGCTGCACTGACTGCCCAGGTGCTTAAGGCGGCAATTCATGATGATGGTTGTGGTGAACAAAGACCTTCACAGCACAGGGGTGAGCTATTAATCTGATTGTTTCTACCTGCCCCACCATTTCCGACATAGGGGCCTCCTCCAGGTTCTGCCTAAACTGGGGAATATCATCGAGCAGGCCCTTTCCTTCAAGATCCATCTCTCCTGGCATTTTGGAAAATCTGTCAGTCAGTCACACGGCTGTTTTCCTGGGAGGTTAATGGAGCCCCTGAGATGGAGGCTGCTTGTAACGGCCACTGCCTTTGGCGGCTGCTAAATGTGTATGCGTTCTCATTGCTATTGATCGGTTTCACAGAGTTTGACTCCATGTTAGTCACCCAGAGTTGCTGTTTCAAGATAGACGGCTGTTATCATTTTACTGAAATAGAAAAATGGCAGCTTTTGGATGGTCCCTGATGAGCTGGTCCCTTGAGACCCCCAAGAAAACCTCTAGCCCCTTCTCCACTCGTGGATGAAACGTAAAGCAAAGATCTCGTCCAAAACCAGCATGATCAAGACTGACTAGGAATGTTTCAGGGAGACATCACAGTGCTAAGAACTTAGGAAAACTTAAGAACTTTGGATTCTAAATTACATTTTTCTATTCTTGCTAGAGCAGCTGAATTCTATGATATATCTGGGGCCCACAACCAGATATTAAACATTTAAACACCTGCAAAAGCCAAAAAATCCAAGAAGCCGTAGTAGCCTTTAGCTCACATGGCCACCTAAGAAAATCAAAGGTTATTGATCAGAAAAAGCCCACTGAGAGACAAAATGGAAGGCTGCTAACAAAAAAGTAAAACTGGGTCTTTCTGCCCCCGTCTGGAAGAGGCGGGGGGGGGTGTGTTTCCCCACTTCTACCGAGAAGCAGGAAGGAGGAGGAAGAGCCCAACTTTTCCCTACTGGTTACTCAGACCGTTTCCACCTTTGGCCTTACGTCCTCCCTAAGGTGCGGCTGACTTTTGCACACAGGGCGCTGCCGAAGGGCACCCGAGAAGCAGCCGGGAGTGCTTCCCCAACGCTATCGTGGCTTCCCAACAGGCCAAGATTGCCTTATCTTCCCTTGGCTTCCTTGGCAAAGAACCGGCGTGGGCTGCACCGGAAGAGGACGGCCCCGCCCTCCTCTTGTTCCCTGCCTGCTCTTCCACTTTCCCTCACGCCTGGTGTGGTTCAAGGACACTCCTAGCTCAATTTGCCACAAGGGCTGACAGCAAAGGAGGAGGAGTTTAGCTGATAAAGACTCTGGGTGCAAATGAGCTCAGCTAGAGGGGGCTGACACGGGGCACCCCAGGTTTCCTTTTGAATCCCTCCGACATTCACCATTCTTGGGACTTCAAAGAGAAGCGGTCAATTTATTCAGGCAAAGAACGCCCCCAGCCAAGAAAGGGTCCTGGAGGAGGAAGCTCTTTCCCTCTCCAAAAGGGAGCCCCCCCTCCCCCGGGAGACACCAACAGGCTCAAAGGAAGCTGATGCAGAAGGAGACACTCTGATTCTGGCATGCTGCTGCATCTGGAATGCAAATACAAAGGGGGAGGCGCGTTCAGAAGGCAAGCCCACCGGCAGCCTAGAGCTAACGGTTCGTCCGCACCACCTCAGCCTGCTTCCTGGCACAACCGGAGGCTCCCACTCGGCAAACCGAGAGACGGGAAGAGGAGGGGAAAAAGCAAGACTGGCTGACTGTCTACCTTGCCCTCCACTGTTCCCTCTCCAGCTCAGAAAGGGGGCCCCACGGAAGGGATGGAGCAGGAGGCCATTCAGGAGACGTGGGAGGCGCCAGCAAGCAGACATTAAACCAAGGCTTCCAACACTCGGCCTGGCACACGCCAAGAGGCTCTTCCACACTGCACGGAATCTGGACACAGGGCGGGAGGCTCCAGGGCGGGGGGGGGGGGCGGCAGCAGGAGGGAGGGAGGGAGGGAGGGAGGGAGGGGTGAGCAGCCCAGCCATCATGGGATCCAAGCTAGAAGGACTTTGCCCGCGAGTCCCAGGCCTCACCTGATTCTGTGCTCGTTTTACGCTCATCCTGAATCTCCTCCTCATCGTCTTCCTCCTCCTCCTCCTCCTCACAATCTTCCTCCTCCTCCTCCTCCTCCTCCTCGGCAGCCTCGCCGTGCATTTCCTTTGCGATCAGCTGTCTGGCCAGCTTGATGTTCTGCGCTTCGTTGTAATGCATCTTCCTCTTCATTTCAAACTGCCTCTTTTTCTCTGTACCAGGAGAAACAGAATACGCAACACAAATTTCACAAATCTCATTCCATTTCCCACACATGAAGTTATGTAAGTTGCAATCCAGTGCAATCAGACTGACAGGGGGAATCTCTGTAACATAAGTCGCTTTGCACAACACGTTGCAGGAACGACTCCAAGCTAGGTTGGGCCCCACAAGGGAGGCCTGCCTTTTCTGCCGGCTGAAAAGCTACCAAGGGTGGGGGCGGGTGGGGGGGATGGATGGAGGGAGCAGAAGAGCCCTTCATCAAATGCAAAGCGTAATTACTTATGCAGAGGCCAGCCAGACCAGTTGGCTTCGCAACACTGCCGTGCAGCCACCAGGAGAGAAAATAGCTCAGGCCTGGAAAGAAGGCGGAGGAGTGTCAGAAGCCACTGGAGCCTCCGTGTTGCTTTGCGCGTGCAAGAATCGCAGAGCCTTTTTGGAGGAATAAGGGGACACCAGAGAGAAGCACTGCACGGCATCCTCCCCCCTCCCTGCAGCGAGCAAGGCGGGGGAGGAGGGGAAACACACCCGGGAGTTGGGACCAGGCACCTGGGACCATCGCAGGTGGGGAGGCCAGAAAAGAGGGCCTGCCATGTTCTTAGACTCCGTCATGTCCACTGGGCCATTTTTATGGCCACGTAGGGGCTGCAATAAAAATGCAATCCGCCCCAGCCCGTACTTCCTGGGAGAGCTCTTGCTGAGGGCGTCACAGCACTGGTCTAGTGCAGGGACGGGCAACCGAGTTCCCCCAAAGGGCCACCTGACAAACTGGGAGCGTGTGGAGCACTGCACCAGCGTCGCGCCCTCAGCTGCTGCTGCCCTGCCCCCTCCCCCAGGCTGGACTGGGACCACCTACGGGCTGGGTGTGACCCACGGCCGTAAAATGCCCAGCTGTGGTCTAGTGCTATAAAACCGCAAAGCCCCACCTACCCAATTCTTCCGGAGTCAGGTCTACCTCGTCATCCTCCTCCTCCTCCTCACTGCTGTCCTCCTGCCTTTCAAGGATTTTGGGGCCTTGTCCTTGTGCTGCGGCCGCCAACCTGCATTGAGAAAAAGGGAGAGCTGAGGCCGCCTGCCCACGACCCAGGAGGGACAGGGAGCCGACCTCTCCGGAGGAGGACGCCTGCAGGGGCCTCCTGGCCAATACGGGCAATGAAGTTGCCATGAAATGAGCGGCACGTTTCCTTCAAATAGGAAGAGCCGCCAAGGGGGTGAGCAAATGCAAGTTTCCCACCAGGAGGAGCTCAGCCATGGATTTAGTTCAAGAGGGAGTGCACTAAAAGGAAGTTGGGGAACTCCGGAGAGGAACCCACGGTTCATGGCCCGGGGAAAGCCCCTTTGCCCAAACCTGAGGCCGGCCTGGCAGCTGAGCTGAGGGGGAAACCCACTCAAAAAAGCTTCAGTTCCTCCCCGCTGCTCCCAGACGTACTCCAGTCTGACAAGTTAAAATAGGAAGGCGCTTTGGAATTAAAAATTTAAAAAAAACATGCATTTTTTTTGTTTAGAGTAATATTGAGGGGTGTTGTTGGTCATGCAAACAGCACTGTACGTAGGATTTGATTTGTTCAGAATTAGAAAGTGCTTGTTGCTCGTCAGACAAGAAGTCCTGCAAAAGCACTAAGAAGCTGCTGCCGCTGCCACCACCACCACCACCTTCTCTGGCCAAGGATTTACACAATATCACAAAGGAGAGAACACACACAAAAACGTTGTTCCGGGTACTCAGGTTCTTCCCTTCACCCTCTGCCTCCCCCCCCAATCAGTTTATATTTTAGTTTAGAACTGAAGTCACCCAGGAGATTAATTTATAATCCATGTGGCATGGACCCCCCACTTGCGACTGATCTGTTGCTAACAATAGTCCTACCTGGAGATGCCAAATGTATCTGCATACAATTCTTAGGTAAAGTTCATAATTATTCCTGTATTTCACGCGTGATTTCTTAAAAATACATGTTTAAATAGCAGGTGCCTGGTTTTGTGTGCTGCCTGCATCCCGCGGATGGGGCTCTGCTTGTTTGTGCGGCCCGGTTGCTGGCATGCCTTGACTCTTGGTGACCACCTGGACATGTCCCAGCACTTTTTGTTAGCAAGATTCCAGACGTGGTTTGCCATTGCCTCCTTCCCAGGGCTGAGAGGGTATGACTGGCTGAAAGATCATCCAGCTGGCTTCACGTCTAAGTAGGACTAGAACTCAAGTCTCCCGGTTTTTAGCCTGACGTCTTAACCACTCCACTGACAGGGTCACTGGTAAATTACAGAAGCACAATGAACAAACTAGGCCATCATTCAGAAGCAGGTTAGAGCCCACCATTCTCTGAATGCTTCTTAAGGGCAAACCTGAGCACCATCTCAAGCCTTTGCTTATTCCTGTGTGTGGTCAACGTTTTTCTAAAGACTAGGCAAAGGGGCAAAGGGCTGCTTGTCAAATCTGCAAATGCAGTCATCAAACGTCATCAGAGAGAAAATCAGAACTTCGAAAAGAAAGGCTCAACAAAGAGATGCGCAGCTTTCAGATACAAATAACAAGGAAGCAAGGGCAGGCAAAAATGGTAGCTGATCATGTGATAAATGTGAACCTATCACGCAATGTGATGCCTTAGTAAAAATGCAGAAGTGAATGAAATTAAATTTCAAACGCACCAGCAGGCCATAATGGTAAATAGAGGCAGCCTGCTATTAAGGTGAACAGCCTGGAGCTCCTACCCATGCCTGTTGGCAAGAGGAGTCAAACAAGAGGCCTCGCACACAACCACGCTGTTTGTTTATAATTAAAGCTCACAAGATGCACCACACCACATCCCTGGGCATTAATTTTATTCTATTCTGCGGGAACCCCGTCTGTCTCCTTATTACCAGTGCTTCTTTTTTTAAGAGCACTGGAAACAGAAGCAGACCTTAAGAGTCATCAGGAAGACGAATGGACTAGACATTGAAAGCCTGGCTGCGTTCAGCTTGGGTAAGAGCATTCAGACGTGGTCCAGTCTTCAGAAGATCTGAAAGAACTGCATCCAGGAAGAGGAGAGCATTCTGCACTGGAGAGTCTAACCAGCGCAAGGAAATGAACCTCAAATAAGGAGGGTTTTTTTTTCCTTAATTGCCCCACAGAAGAAGATGGACATGCCTAAATGAAGGTGGTCGAGGACATCCCCACGTAGGTGCTCAGGGAGCTCCATAGACGTTAGGAGAAAGGATGGGCCTTTTTAAAGATACCTGTAGCAGCGGAGACCTCTAAAAGCGAATTTACAGAAACAAGAGACAAAAGAGAGTTAAGCAAAGCCATGGAGAACTTTCTTACAAGCATTAAATTGCCTTCAATAAGATGGGCAGCCATATAAAATTGATTAGTAAATTTATTTTATTTATATTTATATTTCTTAACTGCTCATCTCCCTCCCTTCATCAATGAAGTTGATAAATAAAATTAAGATGTTTCTTTTGAAGAAGAAGGGATAAAATACTATTCTGGTCAGGGGAGGATCAAGGTGAGAGTTTTTCATCAGAGTTTTGGATCAAGAAGGGAGGAAGAAGGTACGACCAAGAGGCCAAAGCCACAAGTGACCTTTTGGGTGAGCCAGTCAGGGCTGCCTTGTTTCACATCCTTCACAAAAATCACTCCCAAGTTTTCGGAAGGAAAGGCCACCTCATCCCATCCTTGCAGCGAGGACACCCACCGCCCACGGCCGGTCCTTGGCCTGCAGAGGCAGCAAGAAAGCCCTTCTCTCTCCTGCCCCAGACCAGCCGGACCGAGAGCTGCCATCAGGCCATAATACCGGGTTAGAGACAGCTCTCCTTCCCGCGGCACCCTCAAGCAGCAGGAGAGCCCGGCCCCAGCCTCAGTGGAGGAGACCGGGGCTGGGGGGCCACCTTGCGCCCGGTAATAAGACGCGTCCAGGAGGGGAAATCCAGCAGGGGCCCTAAGCAAAGCCTCCTGGTCCCCCGTGACAGGGCCCAGGGCTGCGGCTGTTGCCCTCCCAACCTGAGCCACCCGCAGGACCGGGAGTTCCCGTCCCATCGCACGAGGCAAGGAAGCCCCGGCCGGATCCTTGGGCGAGGGTCCTGAGCCAGCCGACACCTACTTTTTGGCCAGGATGTCGGCTGTGGGGACCGGGCTATCCTCAGCATCGCTGCCGGCATCCTCCTCCTTCAGGCTGCGGGGAGAAGAAGGGAAGCTCGTCAGGCGGCGACCCTCCCCAGCAACCGGCCTCTCCCCCCACCACCACCACCGCCAGCAGCACCCGTGGGGGGGGAAGGAGGGGGAGCCTCCCGCACCTGTGGTAGGGCGTGCTGGGCTCGTCGATCTTCATCAGCCCGTAGTCCTTCCCGGGCGGGTGGTAGGTGGCCAGGATGTTCATCTCGTCCCACTTCTGCGTCTTCTTCCTGCCCGGGGAGAGGAGGGGAGGGGGGGGAGGGTCAGTAGGGCGTGGAGTGCGGAGAGGGGGGAGAGATGGAAGGAGGGAGGGAGGGAGGGGGAGAGAGGGAGGGAGAGAGAAAAAGGGGGAGAGAGAGAGAGAGACGGGCCCCGCTCCCTCCCGCCGCCTCCCCCCCCCCCGCGGCCCACTCGTACTCCTCGCCGCGGCTCTCGCAGCTCGGCTGCGCCTGCAGGCGTCCCCCGGCGGGGGGCAGCGGCGAGGCCTGCGAGAGCGCCTCGGGGTCCGCGAGGCCCCGTCCGCTGCCGCTGCCGCTGCCCGAGCGGTTCTTCAGGATGCCTTTCACGGGCCTCCCGCCGCCCGCCGAGCCCCGCGCCTCCATCGCCGCCGCCGCCGCCGCCGCCCGGCCCGTACGCGCGGCCTGCGCATGTGCGGCTCGGGCGCCGGTCTCTGTCGTCACAAGTGCGGGGCGGGCCCGAGGGGGGTCACGTGCGCTTGCGGAACGCGCCTCTGCCGGCCGGGTTCGAGCGGGGCGGGGCGGTGGTGCGCCGTTGCCGGGCGACCCGGTCCCGCCTCCGCCGCCCCTTGGCGTCTCCTGGAGTGAGGCCTGGGCGGCCGGGAGCCCCGCCGGCGTCGCCCCTCCCCCTCTGCCTCCCGCCCCGCCTCCCCCCGCCCCCCGCGACCCTTAGCCCCCACAATCCCCCCCCCGGAGACGCCGCCGGCCAGGGGGGTTTTCCGGCCTCTCCCGAAGGGGGAAGCGAGCTGTGGCGGAAGGGGCTCAACTCCCCGGAATTCCCCCTCGCAGGGCCTGCCGGGTGGGGGGGGGTCTGAAGGCCGCCAAGGGGGAGCCCGGATGGGGCAGAGGGGAGGGGGCGGGAATCGGGGGCCGGCAGCGGAGGGAGAACCCCCCCGGGGGGGTTGGTGGGGGGGCGGCAAAGTCGGGGGAGATGGATAGATCACCTTTATTATTTTTTACTGTGGGCCCAATGGCACACATTAAAAATGAAATTTAGTTGGCTGCTCTCAAAAGTGTACACATAACACACATAAACATGGTATACATAACATGTATAAACCTACACGCTTACATATATATAATATAAATATAAATAACATTCATGTGATCTTGATTCTATCCCTCTGTTAATGTTAGGCTGCATTAAAATGGATAAAATCAAGATCACGTGAAGTATTAATACCGCTTTACAATACCTTGGTAAGGTCACACTTGGAATCCTGCATCCAGTTTTGGTCACCACGATGTAAAGATGTTGAGACTCTGGAAAGAGTGCAGAGAAGAGCAACAAAGATGATCAGGGGACTGGAGGCTAAAACAAGGAACAGTTGCTGCAATTGGGTCTGTCTAGTTTAATGAAGAGAAGGACTAGAGGCGACATGATAGCAGTCTTCCAGTGTCTCAGGGGTTGCCACAAAGAAGAAGGAGTCAAGCTATTCTCCAAAGCACCCGAAGGCAGGACAAGAAGCAACGGATGGAAACTAATCAAGGAGAGAAGCAACCTAGAACTAAGGAGAAACTTCCTGACAGAACAATTAATTAGTGGAACAACCTGCCTCCAGAAGTTGTGAATGCTCCAACACTGGAAGTTTTTTAAGAAGAGATTGTATTAATCACTGTCCATCATGAATACAAAGTGGAAAGAGGAAGCTTGAGAGTTCACAAAGTTTACGCTGTAAGGAACAAAACTGGCTGAATCTGGATGTTCTGCTTCGGATCCCACAAAGCCCCCTCTTCCCAGGGGGGAACAAGGAAAACAGGTCGCGGAGGGGACATGTGGCGTCCCAGACAATCCTGTGGACCCTCCTGAAGCAACGTTATGTATCATGTCCTGGATGGAAGGGAGGGAACTGCCAATCACCTTTTATGTCGTCCTCACCACTCTGCACTGCCTTCTTGTCTGAAGCAGTGATGCTTCCAAAGCAGACAGTAATTCAGTGTGACAGGATGCTCTCGATCGTCCCTCTGTAGAAAGTGGTAAGGAAAGGGGAAGGAAGATGTGTTTTTCCCATGCGACTCAGAAAATGCAGGGGCTGCTGTGTCTACTTTACCAGTGTCTCGCTGTTGAATGACCAAGCTAGCCTACTCGTTAGCTGCACACACAGAAACTTGATGCTAGAAACCATCTCCACAGGTGAACCATTAATACATAGAGGAATGTGTCTGTGCATGCCTTTTCTGAAAGACACCCCACCCCCGGGAGATGGACTGACAGTGGGTGGAGAGGGAGGGGGCTGCCCTCTCCTCCCACTGGGCCCCCTTCATTCTCCTCTGGCTCCGCAGCCTATCGCGATGGGGGGCAGGTGTGGGGATTGAGGGGGATCTGGGCTGCCAGTGCCCCCTTGGGGAACAGGCTTTCCCGTGGGTGACTGGCGTCCTGCTGGGGCGGCCTATTCCCTTTGGCCAGATGGACTGAGGAGAGCCTTTTGGGGGCTGTGTCTCCAATGGGGCTGGACCCAGGCCGAAGAGGTGCCCCCCCCCAAGCTGCATGGCTGGTGCACCCGGGGACCAATTCTTGGCTTGGGGCAGGCGGTTTCTGAAAGTAGCCAAGCTGCAGGTGCTGCCACCCCAGGGCCGCCCACCCCCAACCAAGGCCAGCTGAAGAGATGCCCCCCTCCTCCTGTCTGGCTGGATAGCCCACCTGGCTTCTCCAGAGCGGGGGCAGGATGCAACATAGTTCTCCCCACCCCCCACCCCTCCGCACCCCGTGGCTGCTGCTCGCAAAGTCCCTTCCTAATGTATGTAGTGGCAGTGATGTCAGGAGGGGGGTGGGGTTTTCACCATCCCACCAAAAAGAAGCAGGGCCCACCAGGCTTCCTAGGTTTGTCTCCTTTTGTCTTCACTTATAAGACAGAATCCATTTCAGCCAAGCTTCATCAGAATAGTTCAGCAGCTTTGCAAATTGTTCTGCGTTCTTTTGCAGGCTACTTTTAGGACAACTAAGTAAAGCACCTATGAGATGAACCAGCCGTATGCGTGTGCCCAGTACGAAAGTGCTTCTCCTTTTTTTAAATCCTGGAATTGCTAGCCACACTGAAGACAAGGCAAAGGCCTTCTGTGGGAGCACATGGGCTTTGTGCTTTGCAAGGCCCCCTGCGGCGCTATCGCCTTCGCCGCATTAGGGTGGGTTCTTTGCACGAGTTGAGAATAAAGACCACACTCACGTATGATTTGGGGTGCTACCAAAAGAACCCAGGGCGTGTTCTGAGCTCTCTTTTTATTCAGCAACCAACATGGGGGAATATGCAAGAGTCAATATAATTGGTTAAATACATACTTCAATATGATTGGTNAACTTTTGTTAGGGATGCTGGTGGATTGTGGTGGTGACATCTTACGAATGGTTAGTACATTCTTAGGACCTACTGGTACCAAGGGTTTTATGGGGGTTTGTATTAATTTTATGGTAAAGATGTTCCCTGGATCTCCGCTTCGGTCATAGACCCGGCCTCCCCAAGTGACCCCTGCCTGCCACTTCCCGTATCTTTTTCCGTTTGTGGTGAAAGAAATTTTTACCGGATTACATGGTTTCCATCCTCCCCATTGGTTTTTGTCACATAGAGCTTCCTCAAACATCTGGTGAGTCTTAACAGCATACTTATCAGCTCGTTTGAGCGTAATGAAATCGTTTTTGATGGGAGGGTCCCAAAATATTTGTCCCGTGGAGACACAGCTCCAGTCTGCACAGAAGTAGTGGTTTGCCTCCCCGCACTTTTTCCAGTGTTTTGTTTCCTTTTTATGGCCAGGGCAGACATAAATGGATGCTCGCTTAGTCCCTACATGGCTCTGCATACCCGGCTTGTTGGGGCTAGAGATGGTGTCAATCATCACACCAAAGTCAAAGTACAGATCAGGAAACCAGGATCCCGGCACTGCCATGGATGAGGTGGAGTTCAGGATGTCTCCGTGCGCATCCAACACTACCCATGTCAAGTTTAGGGGCTGGTGAGGATTGCGGGGGGCGATAAAGGTGTCAGGATGCTGTCCCTTTGTTAGTAGACAAAATATTGTTAGGAATACAGTCTTGTGGATCAAACTTTGGATTGAATTGGCGAACATGGCGATCCGGAACCCCCAAGGCGTCACACAGCAATGGTTGCAGTCTCAAGAGATTGGGAGTCTGCTGGTGGAACCGGATGAGGTGTTGGTGCAAAGTAGGGTCGGACGCAACGACCAGGGACCCACAAGACTTTCTCAGGTAGTTGGACTGCAGCGTAGCCTCTTCCCCAAGTGATGAGATCAACGGGTCCTTTCCAGGTAGGATCTGGGAGTTGGCGGTACAAAACCTGCGGGCGGGGAAGAGAGAGGGAGGGGGACAAAAAATGCCTCTCAGCAGCAGAGGTTGGTGGATTGCCGGTTAAGTTTAAAAAGTTCAAAGTATATAGACAAAGATTAAGGATGTCTTGCACAGCTGAGAGGCTAGGGGGTCCTTTTCCCCTGGTTTCAATATATCGGTCAAGCGCATGTTTTAGCGTTTGGTTAGCCCTTTCTGCCATGGCTTGACCTTGACTGTTGTATGGAATTCCGAATTTATGGCTAATTCCCCATTTTTTGCAAAACTCTGCAAAGGCAGCGCTAGTATAGGCTGCACCGTTGTCTGTTTTTAATTCGTTT